AGATCAAAATTCTCCTTCAAATCCACCAAAACAATGTCTGGCCATATAGAAATTAGCTCTATATAAAGCTCAGATGACAAGATGTCCATGACCAAAGTGCTTCCAGACCATTTCTCAAAAAGCCATGAAGAAACGCAAAGAGATGTTTGGTCTCTATTGTTCTGTTAACATACCCCATTAGATGTAAACTCAGTGCTAGACTGGAAACTCCTAGACACAAATAAGAACTCAATTATTAAGGCTCTGGTCCAAGAGGAAGTTGGAGACAGTTTTACATAGCTGCAGTCTTTAATGCCTAGATGTCTGAATTCCTCCAGTCAAATCATCCCAACAGTGTTCATTGCACTTCTGGCTGACAGCAACGATCCTGTGGCTCTCCTCCTACACATCCTATGTCTTGGATACTCATATGACCCTACAGCACTCCCTGAACCAGATACATTAATGTTAGTCCTCATAACCAACCCAAAGACTATGTTCATAAGCAGATTTGGTAGATTTATTGTAAGAACAGCTGCTTTTACTCTGTTTAGAAAGTGCAGGGCCAATATGACTGGGTTTATGCAACTGATAAGCCGTAGTATGCAACTGTTAAGCCATAGTAGCTTAATTTTGGGTGAGTGTGTTGCATGGAGCAGCTATTATGGTTTGTAAATGACAGTGATGGCATAGCATGATATACAAACTCAGTACATAACCCATTAGATGTGGGCTTAGTCAACAAACTATGGTTTACACAAAGAGGGAACCCAATCTACATCTGATACGAAATGCACATTTTTCTCTAACCTGCCAGGCTTTTTAAATATAGAAGCAGGGAGTGAATTGATGGGGGATCATTTGGAGGATGAAAGCAAGGGAAAACTTTAATGTCCTGCTGAGGTCTTCAGAAATGTCCTGTATGAATCTAACATAGAGGGAGGGAAATGCTCAATGAAACCAAGCTTTTGCACTTATTTACATTTAACATTCTTAAACTGAGAAAACTGGACTTGGAGTATTGCCGCAGTGCTCCCAAACATAGAACAAGGGTAAAAATGTGGTGGTGGTAGTTTTCATAGTTCCTTCCCAATTTCACAGCAATATTTTAATCAGGATTCCAAAGCTATTTGTTTGTTCTTTTTCCCATAATGGCAGAAAACACTCTAGTCGGCAAAAGCTCGACGTTCATGTTTTATAAATGATTCTCCAGCTGACTCAATGCATTTTGAAGACACAGAGTGAGATCCAAGTGAGAATTAAAGGGAGGCTTGATTGACATCCTGGAGATTTCCCCCCCCCCCCCATTCTTTAGGGTATAATTCAACAATTTATCTACAGCTAGCTCTTTTCAAAGCAATGGCATTTATGTCACAGATGTCTGTCAATATTTCGCTCTGTTTTAATTGCACTAACTTAACATTTAAAGAGCATAATTAGGCACAATACGTAACTGCCTTATTAGTCATACATCGGGTTTGAACACCAACTTTATAGGAATAAAAATGACTTCCTCGCTATAAAAATGGGACAGCTGTAAGGCTTTGTCCACTGACTGTGGGTGGATAAACATGGGAAAAAGCTTCTTACCTCAGTTCCTAGCTGGTTGTAAGCTAGTAGTCCCTGAAGTATCTCAGGAAGATTGGGTTCATATCCCCATCTGGCCATAAAGCTCTCTGGATGACTTTGTGGTTGACCACCTATCATACCTACATTTTCCATTTCTTATGGATATTTTAACCAAAGGGCCCAAAACTAAGCAACATACATACTTTTTAAGATAGTTATTTTTGGGGGGAGGGGGTGGGGTCAAAGAAGCTGAGTTCAAGATAGAGCTAAAACTGAGTTGCATCTCTTTGGGAGTTTGTCTGCAACTTTGTCCGCTTAGATTCTGGTCAAAGCAAATCCTTGGGGGGACTTCCTTTTTCTACCCTATCTTATTGGATAAGTTTGTCTCTAAGGAGACAAATCAATCATTCATACATACATACATACATACATACATACATATATATATATATATATATATATATATATATATTTCCTCTGTTGGAAGAACTGCATCTCTGTCTTTCCCTTGTCTTTTTCCTAAATAGTCTTTCTTCTGAGCATCTGAAAAAACAAAGTAGTGGGCTGAACCATTTGGAGGGCAACAGAACATTGATAACAGAATGAACGCCAAGTCCCTTAAAGTGATGTCCTTTTAAAATAAAGAAAGAAATTTTGACTTAAACAGGCCTGCAGTATTTATCATTAGATACACTTCAATCTTGACTGAGGTGAAAAAGCAAATCACATAATGATTAGAGAATGTAAGCTGCTATTTAATGGAAAAAGAGCGATTCCTTGCACACAAAATACAGTTCCCATTAATACTTTGTTGGAATTACAAATAGTTGGAATGGTTAACGTTCTTGCTAAGCAGAATGACTGAGATGATCTTAAAACTTTATGTCTAAGTGCATTATCTTCTTTTATATATGTTAACTTCTTTTCATTTACATTGACTTAAAAACAAGATTTCCCCCTACTAAATCAAAGCAACATTTTGCATGGTGGACTTAAAAGAAATCAAATTATTTACAGTGATCAAACTTTAGGTCTTTAAAATCATATAAGTGCACTTAAAAATCATGAATCACCCTGTTATATATTTGTGTCCTCTAATGAAAGTTCAACATCGTAATTTCCTGCTATCTCTCTTAAGTCTTTATTTCTGACACCTTCAAAGTTGCTGAGCTCCAAGGGGTAGGTAAAATGCATGCAAAGCTCCCCCCGCCCCTTAAATGTACATATGTGCTGTACTGCAATAAAAATGATTGTTCTTGTAAATTACTGGAGTATGCTCTGAAGAGTATGCATTTAAAAAAAAAAAATTCAGCAGAAAATCCATAAATAAAACAAAACATGGTTTGTGCAAGAGGAGGATAGAAATGGATCTTCAGAACAATATCCAGACATGAAAAAGAACATTTAACTATTATCACACTGTTTCTTGGCAAGATTAAATTCTGCACATGGTGGGATACAGGACTGAGAATTAAGAGGTTACCCTTCTCTAATCACATCCTTTAGGATATCATCAATTTCTCCATTACACAGTTAGATTTCATGAGCAACATGCAAACATTGACAGATGTGTATGCAAGTATAGTAACTCTGGCTGATTATGGCACTTTCTGCATATGCCTATAATAGGAAGGGACTCTTTGAAATCATCCTAGTGAAGTTCCTAGTCAATTCAGGAATGTGGATTTAGTGCAAGAAAAAGGATCGCTGTCTGAAATTAATTTTCATATGGGGAAGGTAGAGAGACAATCACCTCACAGTGATCTTTCCTTCCTAGAGTTGTTCATAATGGTGGCCTTTGGAAATGGTGATAGGAAAGGAATTGATAGAGAGGGGTAACCCAAGGAGAAATGAAGAGATTTGCCTTGAAGAGATGTACAAATGGGAATACTGGTGGATAAAAAGCTAGAATGCTAGCCCTCAATGACAAATATAAGAACCTTGGATCTAACCAAGAGTCAGTCTAGGCCAGCAATCATGATGCAGTTAGGAACTTGGTGAGAGTGGAGAGGTCAAGTGACCTTTCCCACTGTTGCTCCCTATCAGCTGTTATTTCAGTGGAGACCTATATGGATCTTTTTTGCTCTCTGTTCTGCCTTGATGTGATCTCCTTTCCTTGCAAATTATCAAACGAGATCATCCAGAGCATCAGTGGTTCCACAGTTCTGCAGGAGGGTGTCAAAGGACAGTTCACAACCAGGTGCAAACAATCTTCCTAACTTGGGAGTTTTCCTTCTGATCAAATGCTCCACAGCTGTTGTGCAAATGACAACAAACATCCAAAAGTATTTTAGAAAGTGCTTGGGAAGGATATGATACTTCTGGAGAAAGCAGCCATTTAAAAAAAATAAATCTAGGAGTGATGGACAAGTTTTCACCCTCTCTCTTTGGACTCAGGGCTACTTTCATATGCTTTGATAAATTAGCTGATAAAAGGTAGGACTCAAATTGCCACGGAGGAAAAAGAAACCTGTATCTTACGAGAGCTTTTCATCACAAATAAGAAACACTAAAACATTCATTTATGGCCTTGTTCAAAGAGGAAATAAGCTAATGGATGCCATATATCTCAATATCTCCTCTTTAGAAGTTTTCTCCAGGTTTCCTTCCAGAAACATCCCAGGAAAAGACATGTTTGGTTAAGGAGGGGGTACATTTTCAGGCCCAGGGGATTTGCCTTCAAGTCCAAAGTGCTACATAGCCCTAATATCTTACTTTTACAATTTGCTTCATTTCTTTAGGTTAAATTAAGTAGAATGGTACCGTAAACATCTTCATCTGAAGCGATGGCTAAAGGAACTTTAGAAATAGATCCTTGAATGAATGCATTTATTAGAAACTGAGGTTGCTGCTTTGGAGGACAGGAGCTAATGCTTATTTTGCTCTCTCTGGCTGCATTTCTATAGTAAAACTATTTGTGGGTAAGCCCCAATGATCTTGATGGTCTTTAGAAGAGGCACATGTAGGACTGCAGAATCACTCACTTCAACTTATTTGTTTCTTGAGGCTCAGCTAGTTTCTTTGGCCATCACAGCTGCAGATAAAATATATTCTAAGTTCATTCCACACTCTAACAACTGTATCCTTCATGGAGAGAGGAATAGAGAGAGAAAAAACATCTCTATTTTAGAATAAGAAACACTTGCTGATCTGCCACAAATCACTAGGAGATCTATTAGAAAAATGTGATACTATTCAACTAGAGTTGTTTCAACGAGATGAGCGGTGACAAATTTGATAAATAAAAAAAAATAAAAATATATCTAAAAGCTTTTTTCCTTCTATTGGTACAACATAATATTTTTCTAAACAAGCCATCCAAAGATTACATCAACCAATGGCCTATTAAGTTCCAGATAAGATGACAAGTTGAAAAATAGGTAGCCAACAATAAGCATAGCATTGTCTGAGTCTATTTTGTTGACAGATAACAGAAACCACTTGCAACTTACTTCGCGGTCCAACATGGCTGGAGATACAACCGTGACGATGTCTCCTTTCTCTGGGTCTATGTAGAACATGTTTGGGGATGGCTTGTCTGGAGTCTGCTTAAGAATGTTGTATCTCAGCACAGCATTATCTGTAGAGGGATCGTCAGCATCAAATGCTGTCACACGCATGACAGTGCTTCCTGGAGAAAGAGGAGGAGATCAAATTTTATTTCCAGCAAAAAGTATTAAAGCGGATTAGGCAATTTATTGCTTTCCATTTTGCATCGTGTTTGTAGGGTCCATGGCTTCTTGTTTAGAAAATAAAATTTGGAGGATTAAGAGAAGAGAAAATGAGATGTCTCAGAACTAAAACCATTCTCAGTTGTATCATTTCATTATCATTTTTTCACCTAACTATATAGACATTATACGTTAGATTTTTTTTCTAATGTCTCCAACTTAAACCACCCTTGATTGCAGCTGTACAAGATACACTAATGATGGGATTTTTGAATGTTTAATTATATAAAGGGGCACTTAAAGAAACCCAAAGGATCCCTTGTTTATTATAGCATACCCAAGTCACTATTTTTTATTCTAAATGGCCCATCCTACTCTCCAAACCAACTGAAGGATTGTTCTTAGGATCTCATCAAGGGGATATATGGATGGTTATTCCCTTGCAAGGAATGGATAGGGCATTTAGCAGAACTTATCATCCAAAATTTCCTGGTGGAGAACTTATCCTCAGTTAACCATATGACTGTAAATTCAATTAGAAGCCTTTAATGAATTTTCCATGCCCACCTCATTAAGCATATTCTTCTACAGCCTAGTTATCTCCCCCGCTGTGAGCAAGTTGTAATTAGAAAAAGCAGGGGATTATTAACCCTGAAGTCCTGAGGCCACTCATACTTTTCCAGATCTAGCAGTCCAATTTGCTTGAGTAGCTTCTCTCACTTGCATTTCAATCTGTACTTATCTTTCCTTCACCTGCAGTCAAACTTCTGAAATTAGGTTCTGGCTAGACATCTGCCAGAAAGCTTAGCATAGGTTTGTTGTACAGAGAGTGTTTGCAAAATCAAATGTGGATGAGAAGGTTTCTTTCTTCTACTTCTCTTCTTTTTGTTCTGCATTACCGAATTTTCCTCTTGAATCCTCATTTAATGGCAGCTTCTCCATTCCCTTTGCACCTTTCCCCACTCACCCTCTCCAGGCATTGATAAAACATTTATGCCATTTTGTTTTAAGCAAAGGTAAAATTGCACAGATGATTCTGTGCAATACTTTTTTTTTTTTTTTTTTCCAACATCCAG